CTAAAAAGCTGTATCATTATTCAATTCCATCCCTTAACTTACTTTTTTTTCCTTCATACGCTTTCACTTCATTCCCTTTTCTTATTTTAATTTTCGCTCTTTTACTTTCCGTTCGTTTCTTTCGATTTCTTTATTTTCCGTTTTCGTCCCTTTTCAGTCTTTTATTGAATTATTTTGGTATTTTCCCCTTTTCTCTTTTTTCCTGCTCTTCCCTTCTCCTCTCTCTTTCGTTTTCACTCAGTTTCGTTGCTTTTCTACTCGTTCAAGTTATATAGTTTGACCAACCTTATTTCTCTCTTTTCGTATTCTTCCCTCCTCCATTACCTTTAATTTTCTTGATTCTCCTTTCTATTTCCCTTCCTTTTATTTCCTCTTTAAAGTTTTTTTTCACTTGAGTTAAATTTCCTTTCACCTTAGTTCTCTCTTTTCATATACTTCCCTCCTACATTACCTTTAATTTCCTTTACTCTTCTTTCTCTTTTCCTTCCTTTTATTTTCTGTTTAAAGTTTTTTTACTTAAGTCAAATTTACTTAAATTTTATGTCCTGTACCTTTCTTTTCATTAAACTTTCATTTCTATTCCATCAATTCATTCCATAAGTTAATTCGCAAAAGTAAGCTTCTGGCTGACACAGTCTGTACTTTTCATTCGAAGACCTCAGCTTGTCAAAAGGCAATAAAGGAGCAGTCTCGGGCCATCAAGTAGACACGAGGTTTGGTAATAAAGACGCTCATTTCCTGGAGACGAATATTCCCTAATTACACCCCACTTCCCCCCCTGGGGTGGTGAGGGATACGTGGAACAGCTGTTGCACTCCGAACAAGACATGGTCTTACACGACGTTCTTTTAGTGATTTCCCCATAGGGCAGTAACCATAACCACAACTCAATTCCTTAAATGATAACGATATGAATATGGAATAGTCCAACAGGAAAACTATGTTGCGATGTTAAGATGTATAAAAGGGACAGCGATATGATATCCATATCCACACTGTGTTACTGTTTATCAGTTTTTTTTTTCTGCAGCAATCACTCTGCGTTATAAATTTCTGATTACTCGTGATTATTTTACAGTGATACTTTTGTTGTAAAGAAAGATGCATCGTTTTAGTCACCAGTTCTTTACATCGTAATACTTAACTGTTATTCTGCATATGATAATAGTGGCTTTTCCTCAAAAGAAAATATGGGAATGGTAAAAAATGCAGCATAGTGGTATTTGGTTAGTTTTCCCTCTGAGACTAGTTAACATGGTCTTACCGTTCATAGAAGCTCTGAACATATCCCCACAGATGCCGTATGCAGAAGACTGATCTGGTGTTTTCGTCCACAAATCTTCTTCTTCTGGAGAGCCTCTGTTGGAAACACTCACGTCATTCAATGTCTCATTGACGAGTACTCATGGTTACTAAATTATTCATTTTTAGATGACTCATAATGAGGTTAAAAGAAAAGCATTTTTGGTCCAATGGAACCCTTACAGCTTAAAGAACTTTCCTTGAATTGATTTAAATATAATGTTGGAAGTTACTTAAGTTGAATTCTCTTAATTAGCTTAAAGACTAAGCTCTCGATCGTTTTAAGTTCTCGACTTCGTCTCGAACTTAAAAACTATCTCGAGCCGGCGATTATGACTCCTGTATTTTTAAATGCCACATAGGTCTATATACACTACTACAAGAATAGCTGTAAACCAAGAATCGCTTAATAAATTTGATTATCTACTGTCCTTCTTTTTCCTTTATTTTATGTTTCTTCCCTTTCCATTCATTTAATTTCCGTTTCCCGTTATTTTCCTTTCCTGTCCTTTCCGTTGCATCCAGTTACTTTTCTTTCTTCTCTTTCAATTTTCCCTCTCCATTTTTTTCATTTCTTTCTCTTTCATTTACTGACCAAATTTTACAGTTTCGTCCCTTTTTCCTTCTTTCCTACCTTCCTATTCATTTCTTTCTTTTCCTTGTATGCAATGTTTTAATTCCTTTCATTTTCGTCCATTTATTTCATTGTCTGTTTCCCTTCCCATCGCTATCCTTACCTCAGATATCTTTCATTTCCTTTTCAATCTTGCCTTATACCTTATTCACATGAGGACGTTAGACGTTGTGTTGAGGTCAAAATTCTAAATTTCCATCTCCACCCCCATTCGATTTAACTTTACCACTTACCAATACTACTTTTCTGCAATCACTCGTCAAGCACGCCAATCCCAACAGCACCAACGCCAACACATCAATGAGACAGACGCACCGACGTGACACGCTATCTACACAGCTGCAGTGGCTGCACCAAAGCAGATCGTATCTCGTCCACACAATTTGTATGTATAATTAATAGATCGCACCGCGGTACCTTCTACGGCCTCATTGTCTACGCGTCACAGGCCGCCCCGCAGTGTTTGCATTATATGAAAATTGTTCCGTGCAATATGCTAATTCCCACATGGACGGCAATAAATCGATCGCGATAAGGAGTGAATTTATTGTCTGAGTGTAAGAGAGTTTTCAGTTTAAGGTTATTCTACGCGTGTGCTCCCGCTATCTCCGCGTTCCGCCATCTCCGAACCCAAATCTGTCCCGCCACCTCCGAATTCTTGAGTGACCCTTATAATCCCGTCACTGCCTGCGTTGTTAGCTGTCATTGCATCCACGGCTGCGAAGCCCCGTGGATGGAAGATTTAATGAAAATTTAGCCCGTGGGTTAGGTTAGGTTAGGTCAGGTTAGGTCAGGTTAGGTTAGGTTAGGTTAGGTTAGGTTAGGTTGGGTTAAGTTAAGTTAGGTTAGGTTAGGTTTGGACGGAATGTCTTAACGCAGGAAGTAACAGAGGATTATAGGTGTCACTCTGAAATTCGAAGATAGCGGTACACGGAGGTGGCGGGACGCGGAGATAGCGGGAGGTAACCATTCTACGGAATTTGGATTCTTTTGTTATTTTCGTATTGGTTGTGCGTCTTTTCTCCTTCGTCAGCGTCATAGTTTGCATCGGAGTGGTCAAAAATCTGGCCCTGTCTATAAAACAACATACGGTAGAGGCGGTGTGTTTAAAAGACACTTTTGGCAACTAGAACCCCAGAACATAAAAGGGGCTGGACATTATCATTGCTATACTCAATCATGGACATATTTTCGTTCACCTCTGGCTACATCTAGCATTATGAATCGCTGTATTCCCTGATATCAGTTTCATCGGGAAATGAGATCAGCCAATCAAATGTTTCTTGTCAAATTTTGAAATGTAACGCCAACCTGATGTAGAAAGCATCAATACTCTAATGCCAAACTGGGTCCACAACCGGTCCTTTTTTGAAACGGCGATTTTTGAATTCGAACGCGTTTCTTGTGTGCAATCTGACAAACCAGGGTGCGTATTTAAAGCAAAGACAAGTTGGCGACTTATATCAACTGGTTTCACAGCCCAAGCGATTTTCTACTACCCCAATGACCAAGAACAGTTGGATTCAGTTTCGATCAATTAAAAAGCTAACTTTTCAAAATTAAAATCACGTTTTGAAAAACACAGTAAAATTTTAAGAAGATGACACCTGACGCCCTCGGAATTTTGCTATGTGAAGTGAATATGTGTTTCACACAAATTTTGACGAGACAAATTCTCTATGAACCCATCTTAGCAATTATATCTTGACGAAGTCATTCAGTCATGTTGACGTATCCAGTAGAATCTGTCCTGAGGCCAAGTTAGATGTAGTTGTTACTCTAACGACCAAAGCCCGTCCCACTCTGGTCCTAGACCTGTTACATTTTTTATCTCGCAAAGTACTATTTGCACAAGACGTTATCTCGACAATCAAGAGAAACCCGAGTTGATTTAAACAGCTGGCGGCTAAATAGGTTAATCGCCCCTGGTTGATCTCATGTCGCCATCTTGATGACGTACGTTGCTCCGGGAGTTTTCTTGACTTGAATTATCGTGTGGTTTTGTAAATGTTTTAGACATTTTATGCTCTTTACTGTAAGATGGAGGAAGGGATGGTTGGATATATTCCTTTTGCCTTGTTTGCAATTTGGCAAGTTTACTAAAGTTCACTAAATGTGGCAGTGATAATTCGTTTCTCTTTAGACCTTGGGACACGTAAAGTTAACCAATTAACATGCATTTTATAAAGGGAAAAATGTTTTAAGCTGATAATTCGTAAACTACTATATGGATGAAGTATAAATATGAAAGTTTCTTATTTATTAAGAACCACAATATCTTTACAACTAGCTGTACCCGCGGGCTTTGCCCCGTTTAACTTCACAAGTGAGCTCGATCGCATGGCTCAATTACGTCCTGGTTGAAGTTCGTTCGCTACGCTCACTCACCTTTAGGTTGGAGCTCGTTCGCTACGCTCACTCACCTTTGGGTTGCAAATTGGCTGTAGTCATAAATTAAAAAAATTATAGTGCTGCACCCTGTTGGTAATCCTTGTAACTTTAATGCTATTAAACATCATAGCTAACAGAACCAACTTGTTTAATTGAAACAGCTGTTAAGAAATTCCTTTTAAGTATGAAAAAATCATAAGGTTAACATGGGAAACTCCAGAGCCCGTGGGCGGAGCCCGAAAGCCCGATCAGAATAAAAACTACTTAGTTTTCCTATTTAATGCCCAAATAATCGGTGTACCGAATTTCAGCCTCCTAGGTAAATGGGAAGTGTGAGTGAGTCAGTCAGTGAGGGCTTTGCCTTTAATATATTTAGATGATATCCAGTTTGACACAGTTTTTTTGTTTAAGAATGTATTTTGAAATTGTTGTTTTTGTGATAATATTGCAATATTGTATATCAAAATAATCTAAGCTAACAAGAAATGTGACATTGAAATCAATGTATGCATATCGGGGTTTGTAAAGGACTAAAAATAATACAAATTTTCCACAATAAGCGCCACCATTTTGAAACGAATGCTAGTCAAATTATGGTTCAACCGAAATGTTTTAATTCACTGATTGCACTTAGTTTCTTTTATGCATACTAATGTAACATTTGGTTTTGCAGGCTGCTTATAGGAGCACCAGAAGCACAAACGCCTCAGCCTGGAGTCAAGAGGGGTGGTGCTGTCTATAGATGTGACATTACTAGGGATGATTACTGTCAACAGATACCCTTCGATAGAACTGGTATGTTACCATGTAGATATTGTACTATGTCAGACCTATATCATGTTTATACCACTTGACAAGTGTAATAGCAAAGGGATATAAAGAATCTTGGTTTAATACTTCAAGGAACATCGCAATTTCTGACCACGAGTTACAAGTGAGCTAGGCATCATGGGTTTGGTCATGTTGGAGTCAAAATGTTTATTTAATGTCGAGAGGATGCGGAAAACCATTGATTGAGACATTTGCTTTCGCTATAGAGATGCGTGTAATTAATCAACTTTCCAGCTTTAGCTTATTTTCTGTGAATTCAACTTTTTGGATTTTTCTAAAGCGATTTGGTTCAAAACGTCAAGGAACATTGAATTTCCCGATTTTCCTTCCCGGGCTCTGGTGGTTTAGAGCTAGACATAAGGTGGGTTGGTCTGGTTGGAGCAAACAATTCTTATATATCTTGTGGATGCGCCAAACTATCATTATTTGAGAATCTAGATTTTTTTTATCGGTAAGATCAACTTTTTTCTAGCACTATATAACGTTCTGTGTCTACAAAACAACACATGGTAGTGACGGCGTCTTAAACGGACACTTTCGGCAACTAGAAAGGGGTTGAAAATGATAATTGCTATACTTAATCATGAAAACATTTAGTTTACCAAAGGGGTTTCGTTCACCTTTGTTTGAATCTAAAAGCTCCCATGATGAATCAACTGTATTCTCTGATACACATGAGTTTGCATCCGGAAATGAGATCAGCCAATCAAATATGTCTTGTCAAGCTTTATTCACTTTAGTATCTAATCTGCGCCGGTGTGTTAGGTCTTCCTACGAGTTTGCACTTGATGTTTTTGTACATGGCATAAGGTTTATGACACATCACATGCATTAACATGATCGACTTCGATTTAACGCCTCTTCATTTGAGTGGGATTTCAAAGATTGAATGTTGGATGTAAAAGAAAACTAATTACAACTTCTTTCGTTGTGGTCTTTGAAAAGTTTATCCTCAAAAGATGCAGTTGATATTAACTGCACATCTTAACTCATTAATGAGTTAAGATTTCATTGGTTGTTTAATATCTCCATTGACACATTTGGTTTGTAACTGCTAGCTAATACAAAGTAGTCATAGGTACTCCGACAAAACTTACCACTTTCTACCTACTTTATACACTTTCTTTTTCTAGGTCTCATAGTCCTTTGAATAAAAATCCTGAAAATGCCCATGCATTTTTTTATCTTGATCAGAAACATAGTGCAAGAAATTATAGACAATACATGTAAATCTCATTTAAGAGTACAGCGTATAACAGGTGGCTCAGTCGTGAGTCTATTTCGCTTGCTAATTTATTCATCAAACTGTTGATTAAGCTGGTTGTATCTGCCGATCTGATAAGCATCGCGATCTGATACTTGCTGATCGTGATCTGATCTACATCTCTAGCTGTCTCTGTGTGTGTGTGCGTGTGTATTTGTATGTGTGAGCGATGTTTATCCAGCCGTGTTTATGCCCAGTCCAAACAGTCTATAAACGAACCTTTCCCCTTGCAACGGCAGCTGGTTTGTAAGACTGGAGATAATTAAACCATTCATCAGCTACCGTCTTCTTGATTGTGTTCTCTAGTGACTCCTTGGTCAGTGACGAAACAGTAGTCATCGGAAAACGAACTATATCTTGTTGAACAATTTCTGAAGGAGTCATGAATAACTCATGTACTTACTTGTATGCTTGGTTATAGGCCCATATGTTATCTACGTGCTATTGGCTGTATGTGATATTACCTAACAGTGTTGTCTAAGGAACATGTCGGCATTTGTCAGTAACAAGACTACGAGATCGCGCCATTATCCTATACTCATCTCCATTCATACTTGGCTTAAAATACCTACCTTAGTATGGCCGCCATTTCAAGTAAAAGTATCAATTAAAGTATTAAGTATGATTGTTGCCAATGACTACATTATTACCAATTAAGATAGAGGTAATTAGGTGTACTTACAGTCAATCCAAATATGAGTAAAGGTCGAGTGTAGAATAGACTGAGATGTTACTGACCAAGCTGTTTCTTTAGACAGGATCATCAAGGACCAGCTTTTAAATATCAAAAGGTTGACTTGACTTTCATCCCACAACTGACAACAATGTTTCAGAGATAGGTTGAAGAGATAGCCAACCCGTGTTAGGTTGGGATAGATTGAAGGCACTCTCACGATCTCCTCCTGAAAATCTGTATCTCTATCTTCAGCTATCTTATGATAGTAATCCTTCATTGTTCTCGCGGAGGTCAACCTAATTTTAGTTTTTTGTTTTGTTTTGGTGTAATTGATCTTCTAGGTTTCCAAGGGAACGATAAAATCTCTTTTCTTGAAACTAACGAATAAGAAATTGGTATTATAGCTCTAATATGCTCTAACTTCTAACTCTAATATGTAAGTTTCTAAGCAGTATTGCGTATGTGCCATAATTGAAGAGGTTGTAGCTGTGCAAATGTTTTTATAATTTGTGTACATGTACATAAAGTAACTGTGCTAACATGTGCACTGCATATTTCAATCAATAGTTTTGGCCGTTCTAGTGTGTAAGAAGCATAATCAGCAGAATTGGAGAACCACCCTTTTAGAAGAATATGTATGTTCTACCCAGGTGATTTGGAAAACTTGTGTTATTTGAAGACAAATACTATAGGTAGGTTACTGGGCAAAGACAGCTCTACGTTTTGACAGCCAAATACTGAAAGATCAATCAAGATCATTTTTTAAATGTGAGGGACTTACAAATCTTACAATCTTCATCATTTTCGCCAACAACGAAGTTCACGACCTCCATTGAGATTGTCAGTTTTGTATTTGCCTGTACCAAGGTATAAATCGCAATAGTGTCCCCGTATGGTGACAGCACGTTCCATACTTCAGCACGTATCTCTTGGTCCCCTAACTCTTCGGTTGTCACAGCCGCTGATCTACTTTCACCTAATATTTATTGCTGTGGAAGCAGCACGCATCAAACTGTGAAAGGCGCTTAGCTTGAGATATCTGAACACGCAGGATACCACCTGGTGGGATATTGAGACAACTATTGAGACGCTGATAAAGTTACAATTTTGGTGCACTATTTGAGAATTGATGCACGAAGATGAGGTCAAAAGAAACATTGGTCCTCGGATTATGATCTCTCTCTAGGGTCCCTAGATTTTCGAATATAAAATTTCTTAACCTTCAAAACCTTCTTGATGACACATCTACGTAAGGGTTGGAGTGTTTGATTTAAATAAGTTGGACTGAGATAAAGGAGGGACCCACGTTGAAACTGTAGATAGGTTAGAGCTCTTGTTTACAGCTCGCCTTTTACTACTGTATTTTATTCGTAAGAGGTGGTCAAGAGGTGGTCGTGGTACTGTGTTGCTTTTGCTTTGAATGGAAAGATTTTAACATTTTCATTTGTGTATGTTTATGTTGAAGCTAAATAGAATCTGGTTACTTGTAATATTGCAGAAGTAGAGCTTCCCTATTAAATACTCGTAAAGCTAGACATCCCATCAGCTTGAGTCGACTAATCCAAATCAGGTCTGAATTGCCACCTGTAGTGAAAGTTTAAAAGAACATCCGACATTAAAATCCTATATCCGCAGTCAACAAACAATTAACCCTAACGAGCGGTCATTGAGGGTCAGTACGAACGAGAACGAGCCACCCGGCGATTTCGGCGATCCTATCGTTAGTGTCGTTAGTGGCGCTAATCGGCCTATCGTAGCTCGTTACCTCGTTATTTATCTGGCGACTGCACGCAAGGCGCATTCCTGCTCGCACCAAGACATTCGCACTTGCCGAGTCTTCCGGGGTCTCACCTGTGACTGCTGACGTGACTCCTCTGAGTGACCCGTGACTCATGACGTGACTTGTGACTCATTTTATGTGACTTATGATTCCTGTGTGACCTGTGGCAATAGAAGTGACTCTTTCTCTCCTCTGTTTGGACCTGTGACATTAAATATGGCTTCTGATTTATCTCATGTGGCCTGTGCCAATTGATGTGACTTCTGATTCATCTTATGTGACCTGTGAATTAGGATTTGATTCGTGACTTCTTTGCCGCTTCGTGTGACTTCGGACGTTGGGACGTGGCTTGTGACTCCTGCGGTCTGACCTAGACGTTTGACCTCTCCTAAGTGAAATGTGACTGTAACATAAATTTAATTATTCAAGTTAGTGGCAAAATAAAAACTGCTAATCTTCATGGATATGCTTCCAAGGTCGTTACTCAAATTTACACAATCTTGGTGTTCGGGGTTCGACCACGTCATTTGGCTCATGTACAGAAACTACCGATGTTTCGGTTGTTCGGTCGTTCCGGTAGTTTGGGTCGAGTTCTTTGAACAAACTGTGATCGTGCTCGCTCGCCCTGAAGATGCCGACTATGATGTGTCCGAAACGTCGGTAGTTTCTGTACATAGTCTACATAGACAAATGACGCGGTCAAACCTCGAAGACCAAGATTGTGTAAATTGATACCGTTCTTTTTGGTACAGTAGCTGTAAAATATTTCAGCCTTATAAGTGCGGGTTAGCTTGTTGTTTTAGCCCTCACCGTTTGTATTGTTTTGTTACACAATTGAAGGATGTTTGAGGTACGTCTTCTTACCTATTCAAGTCGCGACCACCATTAAAGTTTGAAGGCGCCTATGAGACGTGACGTGAGTATATAGACACTTTGATGATTAACAACGCGATCAGCCCTTCCTGTTGGGTATCCCTGAGTTGTTAAACAGCATTCATGCATTTAAATAGTATTTAATTATTCTTATTTTAGATTCTTGAACTCAACTGAACCCCATTTGTATTAACTTAATCCCAACATTAAAAACTTACCAAAAACGCATTCACATTATGGCAGGCATGAGAAGTTCCAGCAAATTCTATTTTAGCACAAATAAATGGGAAAAAGATAGAGTTTCGAGGGACGTTTTGTTTAGTAGTAAAATATTATATACAGTAAGATCAAATTTAGATTTTATGGAATCC